AAATATAATCAAGTCATTATTTCTTAATAAACAAATTAGTTGAAATTCTAGCAATTCTAATTAAAATCTAATGAAAAGAAAACTTGTAACAGTTTAATTGATTAACACAGTACAAATACTAATGCTCTTTTTTAAAGCAATTAGTCTCTTTGGTAAATTTCGATAATGTAATAAGAAGACGAAGATTATTAGAACTATGTGATGATATATTAGCGCAATACATTTCGAACAATCTGATCACACATATATTTATCACACATATATGTTGAGCCTGATGATGAAGTTATTGAAAACAATTGTTCACTCAAATATTGTTAGGAACATTTGTTAAGAACATTTATATATAAAAATAAAAGGTCAAATAGACTGGAAATGGGGGGGGGTAAGTGTAGACAAGGATAATAATAGTGTCAAAATGGTTGCAGAAACAAATAGAATCAAATGACCTGATAAGAGTAGAGGATAAACATCCATCATCCTCTATTGCCAAACACATAATCAAAACAGTCCATAAGAGTGATCTAAACTCGGCTTTTGTGGTGTTGTATTAAAAGTGTAAAAGGGCCTACACTAAGGTTTATTGAAGCCTTAGACATACGAAAATTCAAACCCTCTTGTGTATTCAAAAACAGTTTGTTCTCACCTTAAACGTACCCTGGTAATATTAGCTGATTATCCAGAGTTATTAGGTGTCAAAGTGTTTTCACAATATCATTATCCCTATCTACTCTTACACCCCCCCCATTTCCAGTCTAATTGACTTTTTATTATTATATATAAATGTTCTTAACAAGTATATGTGTGATCAGATTGTTCGAAATGTATTGCGCTAATATATCATCACATAGTTCTGATAATCTTCATCTTCCTATAACACTATTGAAATCTTTTTTCAATATAATTCAAAAATTAGTTATAATTTTCTATTTATTGGCAAGATCACATTTTCATTGAGTTTTTTTTGTTTTGCTTTTAATTGTTTATCATAAACGAACTATTAAATGGTCTACATTATTACATCAACTAGTATCAAACTAGCCAAGTGACTGATGCGGATGAACCAGCTGAACAACAGAAAAGATTACTAAATAATCTCTAACTTTTGAAAAAAAGTCACAGTAAATAACAGTTGTGATCAGTAGCATCTCGAATAATGGAACATTGCCATAGAACCGACAATAATGTCGTTAACCAAATTGGAAAATTATATAGTATACAATCAAACATCAATCAGGGTGCTTTAAATTGAGTAAATCACATTCTCTGCCACTTAATACACTCTTAACCACCCCAGGTGAACTTATGGCTGTTGAATAAACGGATATATGATTCGATCAACTACTTGTAGATAGCATCATTGTGACAACTGTAATAACACGAACTTTTTTTGTGATAACCGAATATAAACAATACATTTAGCCAACGTTGACAAAGTGATGATTTAAACTCTATCAGTACTTAGTTATTTCTTACCCCAAAAAGTATTATTTCAAAATGTATAGCGATGATATAAACATGACAACTATAAATATATTACATACAAAGGAAACTGGATTGTAATAGTTAAAACTCCTGTTCAAAACCGTTGTTTACCAACTGATTATATGTCTCAGCTTTATTTATTTTAGATTAGGTTTATGATCAGAAATTTTACCGACTGATTTGACAGGAGTTAACATGAAGCGTTTAGTATACTATAACTTTATTGTTTAAAGCTTTGTGTCATCATTCAATTAGACGAATGTACATATTTTCATAGTTGAAATCATGAGTCAATTGAAGCTAGACCACCATGGAAAACCCGGAAGCACGGGACGGCCGTTTCATCCTATTATGGGACATATGACAATTATTACTTATTAACTAAATAGTGGATTACATTTCACACGTAATCATTAATAATAATAAATGTTTCATGGCATTTTTATATAGGAATATACATCATTTGTATACATGACAAAACTTCCTTTATCTTATTATAGTGTACTGCTTTCGAACTAACATTGTCCGACTCACATAGACATTTATTCATTTACTTGATGGTAATGAATAAATATTTTCACCGCTTTATATGATTATTCCCTATGAGTGTCAACATCATTAGTCACACTTTTGCTTACTCTACACATAAAATAAATTGATTTTGGATTGTTATGTAATATAGTTTCCATCATCTAGATAATCTAACCTCATATTAACTATACAAGAACATAAATTGGATTTCCCCGACTGACTGAAATTGAATTGTAATTCTGACAAATGGTCAATCGAATGAAATATTTTTATGTCATGTGTGTGTTTGCGAAGAGATTTATCTTGAAAACTGGAGTGGAATTCATTCAAAATATAAGAATTCTATTATAAAACAGAGATACTGAGTTTTTTTTAACTATGATGAAAGTATTATTAGTAGTATTAGAAATGAAACCTTAGTGTAAAATAGAAACCTTTTGAAATATGACAGAACAGAGATTTGATCAATCTCGAGTGTTCACTTGAGACAAGTTTTTGAGATAATAATATCTGTTTTTAACTACTCATTGACGTCACTTTTTTCTCTGGTGGTCTTCAGTGTATTTGAAAATACGAGTTGAATAATAAAAGCTTAGTTATTATCGGTTTTTGCATAGGAGATATCACGTTTGCTTACCGAATCACACTGCTACTGATTGGTTGATTTATTACGTAAATAAATTTTATTTTTATTTACGTCAAAATCTGTCATGATATCTCGTCTAAAGCATATCCTAATAATTCATATTTTCTTATAAACGAGAAGAAATTAACTACAAAATCTTAAATAATAACAACTGGAGCACTCAATATTATACATAATCTAACCGAAGACTCTCTTTGAACATTTCGGTCAGTTAACAACCGACAATATATTTTGATTGATGTGGATAAGCTTAAAAATTAGATCCACTACTTTCCTGTATGAAGTTCTTATTTTACAGTCTAAACGTTTTTCATATGTCAAAAAGATGTATTTGTATGACCACTATTTCGCAGAACAGATTAAATTTCTGTGAACCGAATAGGTCAACATAAGTCAAAAGTTGTCGTTAGATGTTATAAGTCATGTTTCAAAACTTATAAAATAAATTGCTTAACCGTTGGGAAGGAATAAAAAGGAGGAATATATTTCAATTCAGTTTAACATTCATTTTATTTCAGTGTGATATTCGTTCAGTATAATATGCAGTTTTCGTTTAGTATTAATTCAATGAAAGGTTCACTCAATGATATTCACTGTCTAATCACCAAATGAAAATAAAATCAATACATAAGTGAGTGTATTTCGTTAAAGTGATGATTATATTGTTCCCTGAAAATCAATGAAATCGTCACCCGTCATGAATTTTTACCATCGTCACTATGTCTTACAAATCTCAGCTTTTCTCGTTCAAGGCTCATGGTTTTATAGTGATTTCAATAACTGAAATATTTATTATTTCCTAAGTATACACTACCAAACTAGGTACATCAATATACACTATCTAAAATATCGACCAATTTATGAGTAGTATGTTAACTTTCCATCAGGAATAACAAATAATTAGTGGATATTTATGAAAAAAAAATATATATATACATAATTATCACTTTTTGTATTGTTTTTTTGAACCTTCCATTTGATGTTTAGGAGTGCAGTTTACCAGTCTCCTATTGGCATATGTGCATCCTGTACAGATTCCCTCGATACTGCCTTAAGTCACTAACTTTATAAGCAAAGTTGGATAGTGACTAGTAGTGGAATTCAGGACACGCGATTCGTCGTATTTGGGACTCGTCAACTGGATGTACTTTCATTCCTGAGCCCCGGAGCGAACATCAACTCCAGGATGCAGATACATCCAGTTGAAGATTCTTAAAAAAGACAAAACGTGCTTCCTGTATTTCACTACTAGGCACCATCCATCTTTGCTTATACTCTCATTTTTATCGATAATTTATGATATGAAGCAAAACAAGAATTTGTGAATACTCGATAAATCAAAATAGTAGTTTTCATTATTTTTATACGATGTTGAGTCTTTACCCAGTCGTATGACCTTTTCTCTTACAAACCATTGTTCATAGTCATTTATCAGGCGTATAGAATAATCAAAGTATTCTACCTTTCCTTTTGATTTTCTCTCTCCCTTAAGTTATTTAATAACAGAAAATATTCTGTTTATAATATAATTCTGTTCTTGAAACTGAAAAAGAATCTAGTTGAATTTTATTAATTTCCATAAGTGAATTTGTGGACTCATATTAAGGTGGATTATACAATAAATAGGGCATAAATGATTTAAATTCATAATCAGTGTTACTTATCACCTATACAATAGATATCAAGTTCAACCTTAATATTTTTAATTTTTAAATATTTTTTGATGTTTAAAATAAAACCTACTATACAACTATTATTTGTATTTTTAATAGTTGAATTCAGTCTAAGCTAGCCCACCATTGAAAACTTAAAAGCACTGGAGGGCTGTTTCGTTCTAGTTTGGAACTCGTCAACAGTACACATTCACGGTCCTGCCCGTAGGACTCGAACCCAGGACCTTTGGTCTCAAGCACGAACATTTAACCACTAGATCACTGAGCCGGCATCCATTCTGATATTATTTGAATTATTTACATTATATATCTACATTTCGTTCAATTTCTTTCCTTAAATGTAACGAAAACGTCCAATATAAAATATGATATACATATGTATATAAATGAAGAATGAGAGAGTGGTAATTGTCGATTCATTTAAAAGTTAATAGAACAACTGTTGTTTCATTTCGATATAGTTCTCTCACGTAAGTTTCAATTAAAAGGATTAAATATTTTCTGCTAAGATGAAGTTAACAAATTTCAAATTCGTGTAATTCAATATCACCTTGATCCCATTGCTTTTCTTTTCAAATCAGATCTTCCATTTGAACTGCTTTTAAAAACAATATCTATTCTACTAATTTACATATGTTTTACTATCCAATTTAATCTTTTCATTGTAGATATACTTATAAATAATGATAATTTGTTGGATTATTACTTTCATGTAGGAAATAAACAACAGTCAACAGTTTCACGAATCAATTAAAGTTCAAATAAAAGACAACACAGAGAAAACTGTTCCCAGTAGTAGTATTAGTAGTACACAATGTTCAATAGACATTTTCAAAGTAAATAACAGAAACACGGTTTTTAAATGAAGACTTAAATATAATTTTATACTCATTTAATAAATATGCATTGTTTACTTAAATATAAATTATTTACCTCTCAATATATTTTGTAAATCCCTAGTGACTGTTCGAACCAGAATTGAAACATTTAGTGAGGTATTTTATTAACTATGCATATTGAATCGATACATGACATGTAATTTTACATAGCATTATAAAGAAAAATTCTAAAGATCAAATATATATAATACTCAGAAGGGGTTTTGCGGAGATTTCAGTATTTCTCATAGTTGAAAGCATGAGTCAATTGAAGCTATACCATCATGGAAAACCTGGAAGCACTGGACGGTAGTTTCGTCCCATTATGGCCTCCTCAGCGGTGTGCATCCACGATCCCGCCTTCGCGAGCTTCGAACCCAGGACCTACTAGTCTTGCACCAGAGCACTCAACCGATAGACCACTGAGCCGGCATTTAACGGTGTTAATGTCTAACTTAATGTCTAACTGCTGAGGAGTCCCATAATAGTACAAAACGGCTGTCCAGTGCTTTCAGGTTTTCCATGGTGGTTTAGTTTCAATCGACTCATGATTTCAACTATATAATACTAAGAAACATATTTTATCATATCAAATTACTCAATAACCTGTGCCAATTTATTTGATAGTAGTGACTTACTGTCACAGTAATGATAGTGTTATTTTCATATACTCGTTCTAAACATTCGTTTTTCTAAAAAGTAAATAACATAGGAATTGTATTGAAGTATATTTGTTGCCAGTTGGACTAAGCAACTGCCAAATGATCATAAATCGATGTTATAGAAAGGTGTCTAAAACGTCTAATGTTTTCTCACTCTGTGTTCAGTTCAGTTTACAATGAACTAAACAAATTTAAAATTTGTACAGGGTTTATAAACTTATTAACTGATTACCTATTAGGTTATACAGTAGTTAGCAGTTTTTATGATTAAAACTTTTTTTCTGTAGCAAAATTTTTGTCATATATCTTTCCAAAAAAATTTCCCATAATTTTCATTCCATTTACAGGCCTCCCCTTCATCTGAAAGATGATAGCTCAAATTATTGCAGTTCTGTATTGGGTTCCAATTTTAATCTGTTTACCAAATCAACATATAACAATGGTGATGACAGTGATTTAGGATGTGTTGGTCAACAGAAAATGTATTCATTTCCCTTCTGTATAGCATTATATATATATAAATTGTTTTTTTAATTATTCTCTAATTTAATACATGGACCACTATTTAGTTTATTTTTTAACAAATTCATCTACCTACATACCTACTTACTTACTTACTTGATTTAACATGGATCATTTGATGGTGTACAAGTTTAACTAGACAACATCATTCAATCATTATCTTTATGTATATTGACCATTTCGTCTCAGTTAACCAGTATCTATCAATTCTAGTCATTTACACTCTTCTTTTTTAGTCAAGTTGGAGATGAAAATGCAGATATCATATCTATATATGTATTCTTTACTCTTTCTTCATATTGTTTTTATTTTCTTCAATTTCATTTTTTATTATCAACATTTAATTTTTGATAGTTTATTGATAAATTTAAAAACAAAAAAATGCGCTCATTGCGTTACATTGAAATTTGGTTCAACTTGTGGATCAACAATTATTAGTTTTCTACAGACTATCAAATATCTAATTACTTATATACACATATATATCTTCTTTTCTAACAAGATTTTTCTACTTATGCAACAATAAATACAAAAATATAAGTTGTATGTTTACTTGTTAAACTTATATAGAGGAACGTTGGGGTTTTCTTTTGTTCTATATAGGTAATAGTGTTAAAAGAGTAATTATTTATTTCGTTAACTGGTTTATATAGATGAAAAGGTTTATGAGCTTAGTTTGATGTTATTTGGCGAATCAATAAAAAAAACCCTCAGGGCTTATGGTGAGTACAATACTTTTAAATAGTTGAATTTGAATAAAATAAGAATTCATGAATTGAACATCAGTTATTTTACTGTATAATAAGTTGGTCATCTAATGTTTACAGTCATAGCTATCTCATTGCATATATAATTGAATTCCATAAGACAGGATATCTCATTGAAACATTAGGAATTCATCTAGTCAAAATTAGAACGACATAAAAATATAGAATATAAGTCCACTATGAAAGTGATTTTTTTGGTAAAATGAAACAGTAATAAAGTAAGTTTATTGTTGGTTTGTAAATTTAGTAAAACTGATTTTCAGAGGTGGAAAAAGCAAAATAAAAGATGACTGGCAATTACATTGATTTTTTATCGATCAGTCTTTTATAGAATAAGTGGGTTGTAGTTAACAGTGCAATCTAAGACAAGAATTTCAACTAATTTAGTAATATGGTGGATGTACATACATGTCGGTGTTGATGTGTATACTAGAACCCTAACCCAATATTTCTCAATTCAAAAGCCAAACTTTTGTCCATTGAGCTACTGATCCCAGCCAAATGGATGTGTCCGTTATATTGTTATTAGTAAGGGTTTGGATCATTTCACTGTTAGTATTCATGATTAATCTCTGTTGGCATACGTATATTTCATGTGAACTACTTCGATGTAACTAGTTTCGTCTCGAAATCCGCTGCTAGCTACAATCCATCTATACTTTCAAACTTGTAACGGGAATAGATGCATCAAGGCAGTTTGTACACGATGTGCATATACCGGAAAAGAATGATCTGATTTCAGTCCTGGATATCATAAACGGGATAACCATAACTCTTAATAATGATCATATCTGTTATATTTGTTTCATTATTTATCAATAGGAAATCATACAACTAGTATGAAGTAAATATTAATTGATAGACAATAACCAATTTATTTAATCAAGCATGTAATCATGTCTCTTAATCACGATAATTTGCGCAATTCCCTTGGATTTCATTCAAACAAATTCGATAATAAATAACTCTCATAAAAAACTCAATATTATTTTTGAACAACCGTCGACAAAAGTCTAAGTATATATATATAAAGTATGATATACAAGTAATCGATGGGATCCAATCAATAATAACTGATAGACATCCATAAAATCGGTCACTTTTCACTAAATAATTAATATAATATTCCATGAATCCAAATACACTTTTTAACTATTATAATTAAACAAAATTAACGGAACTGTTTCAATCAGCCCAAACTTTGAGAAACGTTTTGTTCGTATTACTTATTTACTTACACCTGTTACCCCTCGTGGAGAAGCATAGGCTGCATACCAGCATTCTCGATCCAACCCTGTCAAGGGCAATCCTTTCCAGTTGTTCATTCTTTTCATATATGCTTCTATTTATCGGCGCAGTGTGTTCTTTGGCTTTCCTCTTTTATGCTTCCCTTCCGGATTCCAAGTAAGGGATTGCCTTGTAATGCACATTGATGATTTCCTTAATGTATGTCCTATCCACCTCCAACGTCTTTTCCTAATTTCCTCTTCAGCTGGAAGCTGGTTTGTCCTCTCCCATAAAACACTGTTGCTGATAGTATCCGTTTTTTTCGTATTCCTTTCATTATTTTTTTGTTAAGCGAAAATGAATGACAACAATTTTGATTCTGTTAGGAATGGATGAGATAATTTGTAATTCATATTTTGTGTTACTACTAGTATTTCAAAAAATAGAAAATAAGTAGCTTATTATTTTTTTAAATGAAATGATCAACTCTCAAATATAACCTATCTATAGTGTAAAAGTTTCTTATGAATTAAAAAATTAATGATGAATCCGTTCTGTATTATGATTATTATGTTTTGGTTTACTAGAAAACTAGTCTACCTCATTTTTAATAGCATTCTATACTTTTACCCTTACATGAAGATACATGTAGAAGATGAAGAAATTTTCGTCTTACAATAAATGATGAATCTTTTTATTCGATATAACTAACAGTTACAATGTAATTTATCAACTTAAAATCAATATTCATGAATATGAATATATCTACCAGAAATTAATGAAAGTCTTCCAAATCATTTTTACTATAGAATAAAACAACATGAAGTCATAATGTAAAACAAAAGTTGATTCAATGAAGATTGTAAGTTTTCATTGTTAACGATTCTGTCTTATTTTCGATTTAAATTTAAAAGATCCATATTCAATAGAATGTAGGTTGATTAACATTTGGAAAGAAGAGCTGGTTATTTCGTCTTTTGAGTATATATATATATATATATATATATATATATATATATATATATGTAGATTCGTTATTTTAATCATAAATAATCAAACTTCTATTTGATGTTCGGTATAAATTAGATGAGCAAGTATGGAGCGCTTAAATAATCCTAACTATCGTTTTTTTCACCATTGGAAATTTGTTGGTGAATATACATAATTATTTCCATGATATCACTCTCTCCAAAGGAGTAATTCAATTGATAATAGCTATTAAATCTTTTTAATATACTTATCTTGCCCATTTCATTTGTAAATATTATAAAATAGTTATTTATGTAGAGGGAAGAGAACGCTTACCAATTATTGACTTGGTATCCTTTGTTTGAATCTTCCCATTGATGTTCAGGACTGCGACTGGTCAGTCTTTAATTGGCATATGTAGATACTGTGCGTATTACCTCGATATAGCCTTAATTCACAAGCATGGTAAGCAAAGATGGATAGTGGCTAGCAGTGGAATCCAGGACGCTCGTTTTGTTCTATTTGGAACTCGTCAGCTGGATGTACCTGCATCTCAAAGTTGATGTTTACTCTGAGACCCAAATCCAGTACCTTTCACTTCAAACGCCATCGCGTTATCCACTCAGCTACTGAGTCCTGATAGTCACCTGCTTGTGTAATGAGTTCGAGTCCCATAGTGAAGATCAACTATTAGATGCGGGTACATCCAGATGACGAGTCTCAAGTAGGACGAAAGGCGCGTCCTGGATTTTACTGCGAGCCAATATCCATCTTTGCTTACCAATAACGTTCCTTCTTTTTAAATATACAACTAGAAGTTCATGTTCAACTCATAGTAGGAATATTTTTGTTACCTAAAACAGTTTCAGACATGATGACATGGTTTGACTTTACAGTCACTAAATAGATATGAAAACAGATCATGAAACTGTTAAATTTGACTTTCATTACTAATCTTAAATGTTTTTGTCTAAATACTAATCGATGACTTGAAATATTCTGAATGATTCAGCTTGAATATATTTTCCAATAATATTACAACATAATGAATGCCTTCATTTACATATTATCTGTTATATCCCGTTGAGAATTATGAATGGTAACTTTGTGAACTATTTATGATCCAATATGGTATGTATATTTCCTATTGTATAATTGTTAAGTAACTTAACTGTTCATATTCGTGTCCCCCTTATTATAAGCTTTATTTTCAATTATAGACTATTATTATACGATTTACTATTCTTGAGTTATCCCCAGTCCATTAATTACTGTTCCCCCTAATCACAGCCACATTTGGCCAAATCTTGTGCAAATATTATTTTCTATTTTATGGTACGATGTAGTCAGTTTGCTTGGTGTATAAACCCAGTATGTTTGAAAATAATGATTCATATTTCAGAGGCTGTTATTGGTGTTCTGGATAACTGGTTGGGCTAGGCAGAAAGCAAGACTGATACGTACTCAAGACTGCTCATAGAGCTTTTGTGTATCATAGCTCTGATCGATAATTGGCTCCTCTCTGGTTGGCGGGGATCAGCACGTCATATATTAAACAGGGCACGCTGGCACTCACTCAATCGATATAACATTATCAAAACATCATTATACAACATTTTAGAACTAAGAATGACTTATCGGAAATAATGTATTGTAAGTTAGGAGGGTTTGCCTTACTCAGCTGTTGTTGGTTGATTGAACATGTAGTACTGAGTATTAAATCTATTTATTTCACCATAGTAAGTTTTGTTGGATTTTAGATCCTCTAGTTTTTTATAAGATTTCTATCTTTCAGGTGATTGATCTCTATATCAGAATTTAACGTTCTACAAAAAGGATGACGAAGTAACTGACAGATAACAATAATAGTTTATAAATTCATGTGTTAAAACGATGGAAATATAGAAGATAAGTTGTATCACTTCTAAAATACAGAACAGGTCTGAATATATCTGGTCCTTACTGACTTGAGGTAGTCTTTAATTTTCTAAAGAAGTTTGTAAAATAAAGTCTAGTATTTTGTTGTGACTAGAGTTGAAAACATGCTTGTAAAGCAAATTGATAACTGTATTGCTGTGTTTTAGATAGTTCTCAATCATAAGTTTTAAGAGAGCACAGTTTGTGAGGCCGGTATACAGTTTTTTTTAGAAAACATGTAAAAAGCTAATTGAGGTGGCTAAATGCTGCGGTTTATCGTTGATAAATCTGAGAATCAAATATCTGTTGAAGAAGACAATTCGAAGGCTATTGGAATAGAATTTTTTTTCAGGCATCTGAACAGTCAATTTTCCGGAACATTTCTTATGATATTCCTTTTAAATTCGATGTTCAAGGATGCAACGTTTTTTAGCACTTAAGGCTATTTTTAGTTTCCAGATTACGTTTGCTTCATTTCAGAGAGTCCCGAAAGGTGGTTATCTTGTTACAAGTACTTTACAGATCTCATCCTATACGTCTTGATTATGTTATTGTTGAAATTTCACCTTTCCATCAAAGATAAAGAGTGGATGAGGTTCTCTTTTTGTTCAATAACAACCAACCTTAAAAATTTGTTCATTACCTATTTCAAATTACCTTTCAATAAATCGA